GTTCTCTTTATTTTATTTTAAATCGAAATTCCCAAATGTACATAATATCAATATCGTCATAGTTTATATCATAATTCGAGCGAAAAATAGTAAAAGACAACAACAACAAAAAACCGTGCATTCGGTATGCGGTTTGGTGCGGTATCATTCTCCTCAACTTTATAATATACAAAATCAAACAAACGATATATCATAAGATAATTGCAAATTGGCCACGAATCTGTAACGAACGTCACCGCGTAAGAAGACACATTCTACCATCGTTTTCCAAACTCTAACGAACAATATTCCAAATTATCGTGGGAGCACGTCTTCATAGGCAAACACATTGGCTTCATGGCTCGACGTTTCCGTATATATATATATATGCTTGGTCTTGCAGCCATAGCTTCATATAAGTTCAAATTATTTCTAAGTATCAGAAGAGACAAGAGGAAAAACATTACCATCAGAAACCATGAGGGCAATAGCGGTGACGTTTTTCCTCTTCTGCTTCGTATTTCCGGCTGCTTTAGCGCAGCTCAAGTTCGGATTCTACAGCCGGTCGTGCCCTCATGCCGAGTCCATAGTCGCCAATGTCGTCGCCAAACACTTCCGCCGTGACCGGTCCATCGCCGCCGATCTTGTTCGCATGCATTTTCACGATTGCTTTGTCAAGGTTCGTAGTATTCAAGTTTTCGGATTCCCCAATTTTAAACTTCCATAACGAAATACGCGCTTGAACACATTTGCATGCATGTATACCAAACTAAGTAGAAATCATTATTATTTTTTTGTTTGAAATGTTACGTAGGGTTGTGACGCTTCGCTGCTCATCGACCCGAAACCCGGAAGGCCGTCCGAGAAGAACGCAGGGCCAAACGCAAGCGTGGACGGATACGAAATCATCGATGAGGCCAAGAAACAGCTCGAGGCTCACTGTCCTCACACCGTCTCGTGTGCTGACGTCGTCACTCTGGCCACGAGAGACGCGGTTACCTTAGCAGGAGGTCTGAGGTATGCTGTGCCTACTGGAAGACGTGACAGCCTGAGGTCGAACCCTGCTGACGTCAACTTGCCCGGACCCACCATTCCAGTGACGGACGCCATTCAGGCCTTTGGGGCTGTAGGGCTCAATCTCTTTGATATGGTTACTCTCGTTATTGGTGGGCACACCATCGGTGTTATCCATTGTAGTCTCATCCAAGACAGAATCGCAGACCCTGCCATGGAACGCACATTGAATGCTAAGTGCGTCAAGATTCTTCAGTCTCTTTCTTATTCTTGTTGAGAGAGAGAGTGTTGATACTTTTTTCGATACGAGACTTTCTGATGGTCCATCCATCTGCAGGTTGAGGAACCAATGCCGTGCCCCTAACGATCCAACGGTGTTCTTGGACCAGAGGACCTCATTCAAAGTGGACAACGGCTTGTGTTTGGAAGTTCTGAGACAGAGAGGAGTCTTAAGGATTGATCAGAGCCTCGGTCTTGACGGAAGGACCCGAGGGATCATCATGAGTTATGCCAAAGACAATGCCCTCTTCAATCGTAAATTCGCTCAGGCCCTCGTGAAGATGGGGACCAGAAGGTTCCTCTCTGGTCGTGCCGGTGAGATCAGGAAGAACTGCAGAGTCTTCAACAACGGCCACTGACTCATGGATCATCTTAATGATCATTGGCCTTCCATTCCATTTAATTCCCATTATGTGTCTTCTCTTCCAAATAAACTGCCAAATGTGTGTTTTGTCTTGGAATCTTGTTTTCGTCATCGTATTGAGTTTCGTTCCAACTTATTGAGCTTTTCAATTTGTAATGCAAAACAAAATAATTATCTATCCGTCGTTTTTTAATTGCCATTTTAATTAGTGTTGAGAGTGTTAGGAGACCATAATCTCTCTCTAGAATATCAAGTTTCCTTTTATTTTCATGCGCTTGTGATTTGTGAAAGCATTACATATAATATAAGCCGGTTTCGCAATAAAAATAGAGGATATACGATTTCAAATTTTACTCGAATACCCGTCGGGAAATTTTCATAAATTTCCCAAATGGAATTCTTTTATCAAAACAGTATAAGCAATTGGGGCGAAAATTTCAAAAGGAGCTTAAACAAATATGAAAATAAAATTATAAAAAATCTATATAAAATGATGTGAAAAAAAATGAAAAAATAAAACAAAGATTTAGTTACTAAATAACTACATCAGGTCAAAAATTAAAGGAATTTAAAGCATTTGGAAAAGGATCATTGCAAATCTAATGAAATCATGAGTTATTTAAATTAATTAAGAATTCACAAATTCTGTAAAATCACAAATTTATATTTTAAAATAATAACAACTATTATAAATAAAAATTCATATTCCAAAAAATTTTAAAGTTTGATTTAATTAAAAACAAAAGTTATCGGACTCCGTCGTCTCCACTAATATATATAATACACAACACATATATAACTAATAGGTTGATTATTAGATGAAACTCGTTGAATTATTCTTCTCAATATATAACTAATTCATGCATGAAATAGTTTCCAACACGATAATATACAAAAACAACAAGACAGTGACAGATCATAAAGTAATTCCCAATTGGCAAAATAATTAACTACCATTACCGCTTAAAACGACGATTTCTACCATCGCTAATTTCAACAATGTGTACAGACGTGTGTATATGTAATTATATATATATGTGTGTGCTTTTGTAATGACTTGACAACTTCATAACAATCCCATGCATATTTCTTAGTTCTTGGAAGAGAAGAGGCAAAAACACGTACGATCCATCATGAGGCCGATCCCGATCTCGTTTCTCGTCATTCTCTTCATATTTCCGGCCGCATTAGGACAGCTCGAATTTGGATTCTACGACCGTACATGCCCTCAGGCCGAATCCATAATCGCAACTGTCGTGAGCAGTTTCAGCAGTGACCGATCCATCACCGCCGCTCTGCTTCGTATGCACTTCCATGACTGCTTCGTCACGGTCCGTATAACAAGTTTTCTCTATAAAACCTGATCTAACAAAGTATCATATGACATTTTTTTTATATCAAAATAATATTTTCATAACATGCATGCGTAGCTGTATTAGTTAACTGAGCCTTGCTTGATTTTGTTTGAATTGTTCCATAGGGTTGTGATGCTTCCCTTCTCATCGATTCAATACCCGGAAGGCCATCCGAGAAGGACGCGGGACCGAACTTAAGCGTCAGAGGTTACGAAATAATCGATGAGGCCAAAAGACAGCTCGAGGCCAAGTGTCCGGCCACCGTTTCGTGCTCTGACATCATCGCTCTCGCCACGAGAGATTCCGTGAAATTAGCAGGCGGTCCAACCTACCTTGTGCCAACCGGAAGACGTGACGGTTTCACCTCAAACCCGGAGGTCGTCGATTTGCCGGGTCCCACCATTCCATATATATATATATATATATATCTTGTTTTATAACGAGACACGTCTTTTGAACATAAAATATTACGTGAAAAGTTTCAGTTTTCCCGAGAAAAACACAAAGATTCGTACTAACGAAAGAAAAGACCATTAAAGGCGCAAACTTTATGACGGTATATTTGCAGGCTGAGGAACACATGCAGTGGCCCGAATGACCCTTTAGTGTTCTTGGACCAGTTGACTCCACTCACAGTGGACAACGGACTCTACATAGAGAGTCTAAGGCAAAGGGCGATCTTAAGGATCGATCAGAGCCTTGCTCTTGATGTATCAACCCGGGCTTTCGTGCTGAGTTTCGCCTCGAGCAACACGCTCTTCGCTCGAAGATTCACCCAAGCCATGGTGAAGATGGGCACGATTGGTGTTCTTACTGGTAACGAGGGCGAGATCAGGAGGAGCTGCAGAGTTTTCAACAGAGATGGTTGATGATCTTCTTTCATTACCTTAAATTCTCCTCTTTCTTTCTGCAAATTGTATCAAATCTGTGTTTCCTCGGCCTCTGATTTCATCTTTTGTATGGTTTTCATCGATTTCTTGGGTGTGTGTGTGTATATATATCTTTGTAATGGATCACGAACCAACTATGAAATAATTCAGCGAAAGATACACTTCCTTTTCCGTATTCCTCTTGTAAGATATAGTCTTTAATGAAATGGAAATGGTTACTACTCTGCCTACAAATGTCACACACGAAATAAATATGCATATAAAAAAATTTTATGATTATTTTTATAATTTTATTTGATGAAAACAATTTTATGAGGGAGTTGAGCCATTACATCTCGAAACGAATCAATTAGTTTATTCAAATATAAAAAAAAATAGACTTTTAATAGTGGGGATTGTGGGTTGAATAAATCTTAAAGATAAAAAAGAAAAAGAAAAGAGAAGACCTTTATTTGTAGCTATTTTTTTATTATACAAGTTCACCAAATACATCATTTAAAATAGATTTCTAGTAGAAGATTTATTCAACCCACTATTAACTAAAAAAACAGAAATTTAAGGAAAAAAAAATATAAATGAACTAAGATTGGGTTTATCTCCAATGTCTGTATAATTAGTACTAAATCAAAACATAATCAAGCTGTAAACTTTGACATAATATAATTCGACACAACATTACAACACGGAGCCACCAAAATGTCTTAACAACGGCCCCCTCATTCAGACAAAAGCCAGCAGGTTGCATTGATCAGGAGAATACGTAAAAACGGAGTAGTTTGCTCTGTCTCGCTTTGCCTTTGAGGCGTTTCCTCACTGAAGGCCAAACTGCCTTACCTACCTTACATTTTCGACGTAAGACGGCTTAACGTTGCTTCTATCGATCCGTGAGGTTCATCCGTCGGTAGAAACACATCGTTTTCAAACTGCAAAAACCCGACGTTATAACCGTTCGTCAAACCCTAAACCTCAAAATTTCAAAACTCAGTTCACAGTTTGAGGTTCAGAGGAAACAGAGAAGAGGCTTTAAGACAAAACCCTCTCTCGGTAGAAAAGAATCATTTTTAAGAACTAAATCTGTCCTCCAACAAAGTGAACTTACCTTCACCATTGAAGGGTTTTCCTTGCTTGAGAGATTTACAGGTAAAAAGTGGATGTTCGGCATTTTCAGGTGGATCGACGATATATCGACGAACCTGGGAAAGGAATAGATTCACCAATCAAATCTCAAAAACGTCTCGAAAATTTCATCGAGCCACCATTTGGGTTCATGTCGCAAAAAAGGACGAGTACCTTCTCAGCACAGTGTTTCCCATGAGATATAGAGTGCGTTGAACCGATGGGCTATACACACCGACTTCTGGACGACCGAAGAAAGTCTCCATCAGGGCTTTCTTGACCTCGGAGTACCTCTCAGTGAAATAGAGTGACTTTCCCGGAACAGCTGACACCGAATCATATGAGTACCTGTATATATATGTATGCATCCGCATGGTCAGTTATAAGAATCCGTCACCAGGGAAGTGGAACAAAAACGAAATAACGAAAAATATCAATCCACCTCCACGATGCACTGACTTCGGTTGCCAGCATTCTTTCGCGAGTTTCAGGCAGAACAGTGTACTTGTCTCTCACAAAGCCCTCAAATCCTGACTGTTCATTACCATGAAAACAAACTTAGTGAATGCAATCAAATAACAGATCTTAATTCTGGCATGTATCAGTGTTCAACAACTAAATTCAACATGAAATCTCTTAAGGTTTAACAAAAAAAAACACCCGAGATCTGTTAAAGAAGTTCTTCCATGGCTCTCAGAAAGGAAAGCATCCTAAAGAAACGAAATGTAAAGTGAATGCTGGTCAAAAGACCGAGCAGAACATGTAGCTCTCTTATCTAGTGATTATATCAGAAATGTTCTCCAACGTATAACTGCCAAAGTGTTTGTAACTACCTGGGTTGTCTTCAGGAGAGATAATCCTTCGACACCAGATGTTAACTTCAATGCACCCGACTGTTGTACTATTGCCTCGGCAGTATGCATCTCTGATCCAAGCTTGAAACCTTCAACAAAGCAATGATCGAGAAAGCTATCAAATTAGAAGCAGCCGATTTTCGTACAAAGGAGAGGACTGGTTTTAAAAAAAACATTGGCCCGGAAACCCACCATGAATATGCGGCTTTCCGCCTACAGTTGCACGCTCCCAAGGCTTCTCGATAATGTTAATAATGGCAGTGAAAACCTGGTAAAGAATGAAGAAAGGGACTAATTTACCGATCAAGCAACAACACAAAAACTAAATAACAAGCAAAGAGTATACTTGGTCAATCTTTACAAGAAATATTTAGTTGTGCATACCTGTGGATAAAATGAGCAAAAGTGTTTACCAAGAGAAATGGCAAATTCCTCCGCAGAAATCCGCTCCGTGCATTCCTTGGCTTTCGCATAAACCTATATCGGAGCTTAAGAGCTTTATCAAAACAAACCATGTGGGTCTCATTGATAATCAATCAATACATCACCAGAAGCAAAATTTACAATTACAGAACACAGAAAGATCTACTTACAGTATTCTTCATGGTATCGGTGGCGACAATTTCAGAGTTGTCATCATTTGCATAGGAGGAGAGACAGTGAGAGAGGAGGCTGATACTGACATTCCATTCGACAAAGTGATGAGACCCATCGTGAGTGTGGCGCCAGACTCTGCCCACTCTCACTCTCGCCTTCCCGTGCCTCTGCTCCAACTTGAACCCGTTCACTTCTTGCGCCATTGATGATCCGATTAATCTGCACCAAATCAATAGGTCCTAATAAGTAATAACAACACCGTTCAGTAAGATGGTACATGCATTAAAGGACCATTTTGTCAATGATTCTATGCATTTTTATGTCCTACATATATAATATTTTGAACAGAGATGAAAAGCTGATAAACACGACAATGTTAAGTGGACACTGAAAAGCTCGGATTGATGAAACACAACCGAACATCATCTGGGCGTGAACCGGTCAGTATCATCGATGTTTTGTGGTTCGAGCAAAGATCAACAAGAGCAATGTGTCTGAACATACACGACATAATCCCAGGAGTAGATCTCGGAATTTCGATATCAAGAAACCAAACAAAATTCAATCATCAAATCGAGGACTCATCAAATGAAGTATGAAAAAAAAAATTGATGATTAAAACATATATCCATGCTTAAGACAAGGAAAAAAAGAAAGCTGATGGATCAAATCCACTCATGAACACAGTCAAGATATGTATTCCAATAGAATCACGGCATGGGTAGTGAGCAGCCCATATACTCATGCTAGGAAACAGCCAGATTCGTGAAATAAAACTGATTCCAAAACGAATTTCATCGGATTTGTCACTGTATCGGAGTAAACTAATCTAGGCATAACCGAGAAAAACACAAGTTCGTGTTTCCGACAAGACAAAAGTAGATAAAATCAAG